GCGCTTTAAACCCTAAACCCTACACCCTCAACCCTAAGCGTTGCGGCCTAAACTCTAAACCCTAAATTCTAAACCCTAAACCCTAAACCCTAAACCTCAAGACCTCAGGGCGCTGTGAAAGGAGGACAAACTTCGCAGTGATGTCGCCGTAAGCTTCCAAACCCCAAACCCTAAACCCTAAACCCTAATTTCTAAACCCTAAACCCTTATTTGCAGCTCCGAAAAGGAAAGATGGTCAAGCGCTTGCACAGCCTTCTGTACGTTTCAGTCACAACAGCTTAAACCCTAAACCCTAAACCCTAAACCCTAAACCCTAATTTCAGGGCCTTGCGAAACTTCTTGCGACCGCGACTATTCAGCGCCTTGCCCTGAGGGGTGGAATCTCGTAGGTCTGTCTAAACCCTAAACCCTAAACCCTAAACCCTAACCGCTGCCCCCCGAGCCGCTAAACCCTATTCTTAAACCCTAGACCGCAGACCCTAAACCCTAAACCCTAAACCCTGCAGGCGACATCTGCGAGGCCCCCGAAGCCTACAGCGGTCCCTGCAGCGGGCAAGAGCCCGCAGCAGGAGTGCCAGCAGCAGCAGCAGCAGCAGCCCCAGCAGCAGCAGCAGCAGCAGCAGCAGCAGCAGCAGAATTGAAAATGCAACTCGAAGAACGCTGCCTCGCTTTATTTCCCTGTCTCTCTTTTTGCTTCTCTTATTCCCCCTGCCCTTCTCAGTGGACCCTCGCGGAAGGCAAGTGCCTGCCTCCGGTAAACCCTAAACCCTAAACCCTAAACCCTGAACCCTCAACCCTAGATCCTACTGCTTGCCTGTGTCTTCTTTGCTGCCTTAATTAATTTCTTCTCTTTGCCGTTGGAGGGTTTAGCGTTCACCTTAATATTAATCTCTTTTGGTTTATCTTTTTATTCACTCGTTGTTCATTTGCTGCTGCTTCTGCTGCTGCTGCTGCTGCTGTTGCTGCTGCTGCTGCTGCAGGCAGACTACGCCGGAGTCTGCAGCGACGGCCTGGCGCCTTTGTCCTCCTCCCCCTCATCCTCCCCCTCATCAGCAGCAGCAGCAGCAGCATCAGCAGCAGCAACAGGAGCAGCAGCAGCAGCAGCAGCAGCAGCAGCAAAGCAAGTCCGGGAGACTGAAGTCTACTGCCAAGTCCGCTACGAGTGTGGGGCCCCAC